CAGAGAGTTCCAGAAAAACATCTACTTCTGCTTCATTGACTATGCAAAAGTCTTTGACTGCTTGGACCACAGCAAACTATGGCAAGTCCTTAAAGAAATAGGACTGCCTGACCACCTTATCTATCTCCTGAGAAATCTATATGTGGGAGAAGAAGCAACAGTTAGAACTGGATATGGAACAACTGATTGATTCAAAATTGGGAAAGGAGTATGACAAGGCTATATATTGTCTCCCTGCTTATTTAACTTATATGCAGAATTCATCATGCGAAAGGCTGGGCTGGATGAATCCCAAGCCGGAATTAAGGTTGCCAGAAGAAATATCAACCACTCCAGATGATACCACTCTGATGGCAGAAAGTGAGGAGGAATTAAAGAACCTCTTAATGAGGGTAAAAGAGGAGAGCATCAAAAATGGTCTGAAGCTCAACATAAAAAAAAAAAAAAGCTAAGATCATGGCCACTGGTCTCATCACATCCTGGCAAATGGAAGGGGAAGATATGGAGGCAGTGTCAGGTTTTATGTTCTTAGGCTCCATGATCACTGCAAATGGTGACAGCAGCCACAAAATTAAAAGACGCCTGCTTCTTGGGAGGAAAGTAACGACAAACCTCAACAGCATTTGAAAAAGCAGAGACATCAGCTTGCCGACAGAGGTCTGCATAATCAAAGATATGGTTTTTCCAGTAGTGTTGTATGGAAGTGAGAGCTGGACCATAAAGAAGGCTGACTGCCAAAGAATTTATGCCTTTGAATTGTGGTGCTTGAGGAGACTCCTGAGAGTCCCCTGGACTGCAAGGAGAACAAACGAATCCATTCTGAAAGAAATCAACCTTGAGTGCTCACTGGAAAGACAGATCCTGAAGCTGAGACTCCAATACTTTGGCCATCTCATGAGAAGAGAAATCTCCCTGGAAAAGACCCTGATGTTGGGAAAGTGTGAAGGCAAGAGGAGAAGGGGACGGCAGAGGATGAGATGGTTGGACAGTGTCATTGAAGCTACCAACAGGAATTTGACCAAACTCCAGGAGGCAGTGGAAGACAGGAGGGCCTGGCATGCTCTGGTCCATGGGGTCACGAAGAGTCGGACACAACTTAACGACTAAACAACAACAAAATGTGCATGAGGATTGCACTCTAATATCTATTACTCAGCATGAAGCAACATGGAGGATTAAAATCTGTTTATTTTTACTGCAGGAGAAGTCTTGAGCATAATAAAAAACTACTTAATTTGACAATTAATTGCATAATTTATTGCTACAGTACTCTATTGTAAAAGGTTTAACAAATTAAGACAGCAGTTCCATACCTGCTTAGCTGGGAATAAGTGCTCTGAATGCAGTGTGATATATTGTAGTGGCCATTATTGTACATATTATCCTTTCCTGAGGCAGACCTTCTACACAGAACTCCATACTAGAGCTTGAAAGGGTTACTTTTGGGGACCACAGATGCAAGAATCCCACAGCTAGCATGAACCGTTGGAGTGTTAGCCCTAAGTTACTTTATTAATAGAATTCAGTGATACACACACTGTATGTTTATTAATAGAATTCAGTGATACACACACTGTTAATATTAATTTTTCTTTCTTTCTTGGGCTTTCTTTTCCTTCTTGTATTGATTTTAGATCTGAAACAGTGAAAAAAACCCATATTGATTATATTGTTTTAGGGGGCATGTGGGGTTCTGAGTTTTATTTGTAAGCCGCCCAAGAGTAGTGTGTCCACTAAAAGAGGGGTATAAAATCAATCAATCAATCAATCAATCAATCAATCAATCAATCAATCAGTCAATCAATCAATCAATCAATCAATCAATCAATCAAACAAACAAACAAACAAATTCCTTCAGAGCTGCAGATTAAATATTTTGTTATAGTTAGAGAGTATTAAGAGTTTTGCTTCCTTCATCCTATTTCATATTTCAGCAAAACCCCTTTGCTAACCTACTTTATCTATGCTAGGATGGCTGCACAAACACCTAGATATTATTAATTGCCACATGCAAGATAACGATGGCCAACGTCTCTGCTTTTAGTATTCCCACTCTGTCCCACCACTGCTTATGTGTAATAAGTGAGATGACAATCCTTGCATATGATGATATGGGTTATAGTAGTCCACCAAAGCACATGGCAGATAATGAAAGATCCCCTCTTCCCAAAAATCAACAGACAAAGGCAGGCGCCTCCTGGAAACTTTACAAGGTGCATCTTGGTGCAAGAGAATTCGTATATTTCAAAGCAAGTGGCCTATTTGATGTGGCGGCCCTGTTCTCCTGCCAATGGCAGCTTCCACTTCTCAATCAAATGCTTCCTTCCTATACCCACCCCTTCTAGCTGCTGTTCCCTTTCATTGGTACAGACTACAATCCTTAGCAAATGGGATTCCTAACAGAGCTTGGCTGGGAGATTCTGAGGAGTCCTTCTGCCAAAAAGAAAGTTTCCCAGAGATCTAAAAACTGCCATGTCAGATTTTCATGTCAAGAGTGACCATTGGTCAGATAGGTAGTACAGAAGTTTAAAAATAAATAAATAAAATACTGTAAATAAATAAGATTATAATACCGAGAACGACGAAGCCCTTGGCACGACAAAAATTAGCCATTCATTATTACAGATACACCAGATGGGCAGGATACAAATCAAATCAAATCAAATCAAATCAAATCAAATCAAATCAAATCAAATCAAATCAAATCAATCAATCAATCAATCAATCAATCAATCAATCAATCAATCAATCAATCAATCAATCAATCAGTCAATCAATCAATCCCCTTTTTGGTGCTGTGGCTCACCACCCCCTCCCTACTTTTGCAAAGAACAGCCTGAAGATCCTGCTCTCTGCAACGCTGGCCATTTTTGGCCATGGGGGGGGGGAACCACCTATGTCATAGCACAGCAGGGACATAGGCAAGTCTTTGGGTCCAAATCCCAAGTCCAAGTCTGATCGGCCCCAAGTCTGAGTCCCTATTTAAAAAATGCTTTTTCCCCCTATCTCAAGCCCCAAGTCTGAGTCCCTATTTTAAAAAAAGCTTTTTCCCCCTAGAAAAAAGGAGGGGTGGGTGGGTTCCAAGTAATGAGTCAAGTCCGAGTCATTGAAAAATAACTTTAGTCAAATCCGAGTTATGTCACTGGTGTGATTTAACTACAATGTGACAGCAAGTCCCATGACTCAAATCCCCATCCCCGTAGCACAGCCCCTTTCTTCAGACGGCTCAAAGACGGTGGTTGCCTCTGAGAGGCCTTCCGAGATGGGCATTTAGGCATGTCTAGACTTGAATCCCATGCAAAGCAATGGCAGCTCTTTGGAGCGGCAAAGACTTCAACGGTTGGCAACGTCAACTTTGTGCCTTAAAAAGAAGTGACTTACTTTGTCTACCGGGATGACCAGCCCTGACTGACACAGCGCAGAGTCTATGCCTGGGTATGAGGAGTACTCATACCCAGGCATAGACTCTACAATTTGGAGCAAAGTTTATTCAGGGCTGAGCCTTAAAATAATCACTGACCTTTTAGCAACTCTTTTTTTCCTCTTGCATTGCTTTCTTTCTCGGCCATTTCTTCAATTTCGTTTCCACCCTGCAAATCCAGCTGTGAGTTGGCAGAGGAAGACTTTTCCGGAGACAGTCTTGGCTGCCTGTGTTCCAAGCCTTGCTAATATTTTACTTTTCTGCATTGGCCCTCTTAAGGATGTATAACACATATGCAAAGTCCAGCACACATACCCACACCTTCTCCTCAGGGAAAGGTTTCTATCTACAAGATTAACTGAGTTTACTTATTATCAGTTTGTCTGAATTTTAAAAAACAGCAGCAACACACAGACACATCCACAGAAAAACCTGCCTAGACTGGCCACATTTACGTATAAATGTAGGCTATTGATTGTTTTAAAGGACATACTTTTGAGTGTAGTGCTTTAGGAATCACCATTAGTTACAGCAATGGCCATTTGTAAAGAGGGATTGTGTGTGTGTGTTTATTACTGAGGAAACAGGATGTTCGCTCCAGATTAATTAGGCCCAACTCACTGCCTGGCATAAACGTTTACAATCTCTTTGGCTTGGATGGAATTAGGCCATTTTACACCAACTGGGCAGCAGATCTTAAGTGGGTCCATGTGACAGTTCTTAATTCTAGAAGAAGAGACATGGTTCTTTCAGTCAAAACAAGCCAGCTTTTATTCCTGCTTCTGCACAACAGACATTTGTTTTCTAAGGGTCACCGGCTATTTATATATGAGGAAAATTGTCCATACTATAATACTTGAAACATCCATTCAGATGCAATTACTATTCCCAGTTAGAGTAGAACCATCAGATCAAATGCTGATTGTCAAGTTAAATCTCAATTCAGTGTTTTAGCCGAGACTAACTGCATTTTGGGCAGTATTATTGCTCTTCAAAGTATTATGGCACATGGTGGCCCTGTGCCCTCCTTTTACAGAGGGCAGCTGTGTAATTTGAAGGGTTGTAACAGCGACTAGGAGCCACCAGCTGGAACATAGTTGGTGGCAAGGGGTCAAAGTGGGGATCAGCATCTCATCCAGCATTTGGGACTATCATAAAGTGCAATAAACCTGAAATAGGATTGTCTCTAGGGACAGTTGTACAGTACCTGGGGAATGTCTATGGTACACAATCTGGGGGGCAATTTCCTTTTAAAATTTTACTTTTGGCTGCTTATGGAAATGCATGTATTTCTACATTTTTAAAAATCCTTAGTGTGAAAGGAACAGTTTTAATATGCCATTCTTTTGGTCGATAACCAAGTTGTTTCCCCCTAGAGAATCAGAAATATATATAGTGTAGACGGAAGGTGAAACTGCTAGCAACAACGCTGGGAAAGAGATTCATAGCAGAACATAAAGGCTTGCTGTTGGATATATTAAAGATGATATTTTAAAACAGTTAGAGCTTTTAGAGTGTCTTTATTTTATTCTTCGTGGCATACACAACAATACATCTGGATTTTATATTTTCAAAAGTCATTTGGCAACCCTTTCTGTCTGTAACCTAACCTGCTAGTCCCAGGGTTATCACTAGGTGCAAACCTGACATCCTCATAGCACTAATGGAGCATCATTGGGCTAGTTCCTCTTGCATTCCTTCTAGGGCTGTAACTAGAGGCAGACTCCATTGCCTCCATACCACCCATCTTCTACTCTGATGACTATTTCTCTCAGGATTGGACAATGTTGGCAGTTTTCTCCCTGTCCAAGGACATCACAGACCTGCCAAAATATCAAGGATGCATGGAAGGGACTGAAGCCAGCAATTGTTCAAAAGACCTTGTGACGGGAGACCTGGCCATCAGCTTATTAACAGGTAAGCAAGGCGATTTACCGGGTGCTGAATGTGGCCAACCTGAGCCTGAGGGGGTTGGAGGGATGGAAGAAAAGGGAAGAGGAAAGTGTAAGGGAAAAAAAGGGGAGTGTTTTGCTGAATTGTTGTGTTGCAACTGAAGAAGAACTGAAGCGTCTGTTCCCAAGTTGATGTTGCTTTTTAATAAAGAGAATATCATTTTCCATTCTTTAACCACTGGGTCTGGTGTGGTTAAGGGCTGATGTCAAACGTATTAAGGGAAAGCTATTTTAAAAAGTGACAAGCCTAGGTTGGGGTTGGTCACAGTCTTGTTCTACTTTTTTTGGGAGGTGGGGTGGGGTATTTTAAAGTGTTAAATATTGCAAAAGGGATCTTCATCCTATTTTTAAAAATTGGGTTCTAGAAAGTTGCTTCCTTCTGGAGACAACAATCCACCTCTTTGTAAAACTTTGCTGTGGAAAAAAAAATGGTGGAGTTGGAGATACAGGTGGGGCTAAGGCCTCCAAACATGACTTGGGGGTTACATGCAGCCCCAGAAAATTGTCACCCCTAATTTGCTACTGAATACTCTGTACCTACCTAGACATGAGTCAGAATAAACTTGATGGCAGTTTTTATTTTTAGCATAATTTGATGAAGAGTTTAGAGAATCTGAAAATTTATACCCTGTAACATTTTCTTTGGCCTAATAAAAGAATGGTCTAATATGGCTCTTGGAATAACTACAGCAGTATATATGATTAACAGAGGAAAACTAACTGAAATAGGGTTGGGTGGGATTTAATAAATGTCTACCCTTCTTCTTTAGGGGTGGACATAACTGGGAGAGAAACCAAACACTAAGGGAAATGCATATTTCCTACAATTAACCTGTTTTCAATGGATTTTCTGCAAAGAGATATGCATCAGCAATTGGATTTGTAAATTAAGCCCGTGTTTACTTTCCAATAGCCAATTTTTTAAAAGGCATATTAAATGCAAAATATGTAATTTAGGAAAAACCTGTGCAATGGTAAGGATGCCCTTTGCCACTTCTGGAAGCATATCTAGGCTGTAGGATCCTGAGTAAACTATACTGCATTCTGTTTTACCACATTTTAAAGCCACTGGCATGCACAGTGAGTATACGGACCTATTTCAGAGGTTGCTTATAACAAATGTAAGACATATTGCTTATAACAGAGGTAAGGAATATGTGGCTTTCCAGATTGGTTGGAAACAGCTTCTGTTGGCCAGCATAGCCAGTGGCGAGGGATAATATGAGTTACAGATGAGTAGCATATGGACAGCCATCCCCCATCCTTTGTTTACAGCATTTAAAGATGTGCACTTATTATGACAAGTAGTGTAAAATGCAGCAAGACTGAAAGAAGGACTGCCAGTTGTGCTTTTCTAAAATGGGTCTTTGAAAACATTTAATTGTATAGGGCATCAGAAGAGTGGCTATCTTATTGTACAGAAGAAAAGGTGATAAGAATTACATGTAAATATGTAGAAGGAAAGTCTGCAGGGAATTAATGATAATGCTCTACTGATGTCCAGTCAACATCTATAATTACGTGCCAACACTACAAGTTGAGCATGACATTTGAGTATTTGTAGGTTTTTTCCTCTATGGCTTTTCGTCTGTCCAAGAAAAAAGAGGGTACATTCACCTTCACAATGTTAACATTAGCACATACTAGCTGAAACTATGATGCCGAAATAATTAAAAGAATTGATTGAATAATTCAATTGTAACAATGTTACACTTAGCCTACTAGGGCAATACTCAGGTTTAAGCAGTTATTCAACTGTTATTTAAATGCTGGATTTTTACTTTTTTATTTATTTTACTATTTGCATAAATGTTTTTCTAAAGAGAAAAATAATGTTCTTGAATGCTGGGCTCCCTTTCCGAGCGATCCAGATGCTGGCAAGCAAAATGGCTGCAGTCTGAGAAGTATAAAACCATGTACAGTGTGTGTAACAAAAAAATGAAAATGTTTATTCTGGTCAAACACTTTGGAATATGATTATATTAAATTATGTTCCATTTGTTAACCTCCAGGGGAGGACTGGAATAGACATCCAACCATCATTATCATTGTCATCATCATCGTTGTTGTCACCATCATCATCATGACTATGTTTCTTTTCTGTTGGTGACATATATCCACCTCCAAAACAGTAAAATTATATGCCCAACAAGGCATGAATGCCAGTGGTTTTTTATTTGAAAAAAGCAATTAGTCTCTCTCCTGACCTTAAAATGTTAGATAAGTTTGAAATGTACAGCAGATCACTACCCTTATAATATAGCTCCAAAGTTCACTTATATCAACAGCAAATGTTTACATTTTCTCAGATTTTCTTTTTATCTGCTCTTTGATTTCATAACATGATACCCATTGTAAACATGTTTCGAGTACAAAACATTTCTAAATAAAACCGCAACAGGGCACAATCAATAAATGATCCCACAATGAAAATGTACTATGAAGGTCAGCAGAAACACCATCATTCATAAAGCTTGTCAGAAAAAGAAAGAAAGAAAGAGAGCTGCAAACTTGAGAAAAGAAAAGAGCTGATACTTCAGTGCAGAACCTTCTTATTAAGGCAGTGGTGGGCAAAGAGTAGTCTTCCAGATGCTTTTGAACTACAGCTTCCAGCATTCCTCTCCCAGCTCTCGCCAACCAAGCGGTTTGAAAGCATGCAAATGCAAGTAGATAAATAGGGACCACCTCGGTGGGAAGGTAACAGCGTACCGTGTCTAAGTCACACTGGCTATGTGACCACGGAAAATTGTCTTCAGACAAAACGCTGGCTCTATGGCTTGGAAATGGGGATGAGCACCGCCCCCTAGAGTCGGACACGACTGGACAAAAATTGTCAAGGGGAACCTTTACCTTTACCTAAGGAGATCTTTTGGAATCTGACCATCAGCCATTCTCACGACAAGCCCAAGCCAATGTAGATGTCACTGTTTCAGTAAAGTATACATGCTAAAAATTCCAGCTCGATCTAGAACTACTCTATTTGGAACTTTGTCCGGCCAGGTGATACCAAAAATGCGTAGGAGGCAACACATATGGAATGTGTTCAGCTCTTTCTTTCTTTCTGTCTTTCTTTCTTTCTTTTTCTTTCTTTCTTTCTTTCTTTCTTTCTTTCTTTCTTTCTTTCTTTCTTTCTTTCTTTCTTTCTTTCTTTCTTTCTTTCAGAAATTGCACAGAAAATCTTGCAGGATTTCTCAGAAATTTTCAAGTCATGTTTTTCTGGAAGAGATATTAAGCTACACAAGATTATTACAACTCCTGGCAGCTTTTCTGTGCAGGGCTTACTTGAAAAAGAAACAACAAAGTGCATAATAATAATAACTGTGTATTTTCAAGTCACATTCTGATTTATAGCAACCCTTTCCAGGTTTTCTACAGTCATGGCCAAAAATATTGGCACCCTTGCAATTCTGTCAGAAAATGCAACCCC